CCTCCCCTCCCCTCTTCTCCCTTCCCTCCCCAAATTTCAGGCTGCAGGACCGTCGTGCTGCAACCTTGTCGCATCAGTGGCGGACGGCCCGGACGGGCCCGGGCGGGGCCGGACGGGCCCGGACGGGGCCGGACGGGCCCGGACGGGCTCGGACGAACCTGGAAACAGGGTGACGCTGGATAAAGGCGCCTTTCGGGGCGGACGGGCATCCGGAGCACCCCGTGTATTCCCGCCGCGCCCCTGGCCAAAGACGCCTCGGCGGACGCTCTCGCCACATCCCAGCAACCAAAAACGCCTTGCAAATCAAAAACCGCCCAGCACGGACTCTAAAGTATAACACAACATTGTCAACACCAGGTCACCAGTCGAAGGCTGGAAGTTGAATTACAGCTTGCAGCAAGCAATGATAATTATATACATTGTCGGAGCATCACAAGCTCCGAGGAACGACGTCCTGCCAAGCTGGTGGAAGGCGGAGCCTGCTAGATACTCTCAAGTAATTGAACACGGAGGTCACATCAGCATCAGCCCATAGGTCGCCCCACGGATAGGAGATGTACATGTCGAGAAGTGAGGAGCTGTGGTCAACCTGGGTAAGATCGACCGTATCGACCCTAAAAGCCCCGATAAGCTGCCCATAATAATCCCAAACCGTGTAGCCCTTGAAACTTGAAACCATATGATCGTTGCCAAACCCAAGGACATCCGGGATGACCTGCCTGGCTTCGACGTGGCAGATCTCAACGATGTCCAAGACGCGCCGAGCATACGCAACAGGATACACCCTGGGATAGCTTTGGCCAATTGAGGTTCCAAGTGTTGTTGGTTTTGGACTTGAGTTTGCTTTGACTCACGACAACCGTTCTGGCTGTAATTGACAGCAGACTGTGTGAACTCGTGACAGACACAAGTAACACAGGCACACACACACACAAACAAACAAACAAACAAACAAACAAAGAAACGAACGAACGAACGAACAAAAACAAACACACACACACACAGAGACAGACAGACAGACACACACACACACCCACGAGCACACACCTCAACCACAACACACACACACACCCACACCTCCACACTCTTAAGTTATCTTTCTCTATCGCTGTCTCTGTCTCTGTTTCTGTTTCTGTCTCCGTCTCACTCTCTCTCTCTCTCTCTCTGATGAAAGATCGAGGAGCTGGGTCCCCTTGAGCTCTGCAGTCCCATGAAACCGAATCACGCCATGCTTGTCTGGCTTCCTGACACTGGTGCGCACAGTCGATTGTAGCTCCGAACGATGCATGCCCTCTGTTCGGAGCAAACCGACAGAGGAGGTGTTCGAAAACACTTTCGTACGCTTGGCCGTGGGATGCCCCCAGCCACGCATCCAGAACGATTGGCAATACATCTTGGCTTCAGGGCCGCACACGTGCGACTGGAACCCTTGACTGACACCATAACACAGCTGCCTCTCTCGATGTTACTTACGACATTCAACCGAGGAACATGGAGTTGCAGTTGCTCAAAGCGCTCCACAAGCCATTCAAACCGGACATGCCGAGGTAGCAAAGAGGATGCTGGCTGTTCAAGGAGCCAAATGCCCTCAAGGCACATCGTCAGCATCAGTAGTAGGACCGTCCTGCCAGGCACTGTTTGGGCTTGGGGTTTAGAGGGGTTTAAGGTTTTTTTTTTTTTTGGGGG